TGTGGTAAAATATGTTTACAGTACTGAAATTGCACATTGAATGCCCCTCGCTGGGCATACTGCTACCTTACTGCCAACCAGATGCTTAGCAGAAATCCACAAACAGGACATGGGAGCAGTATCCTTTTTCCTGCTGATAGACTCTCCAGAGCAATTTATAATCCCAGGTGCATTGCATCTGAATCTGGAGGCTCCATTAAGCTATCAGGGCTAGATACAGAAAGACTCAAGCTTCTTAAATTAATTTAATCTTCCATTGATGGTCTTCTATCCCAGGAAAGATTGATACATATTGTTTTGTGGCTGCAAATTCCTTAAGTTAATTATACACTAATATTTTAAACCATCTTTTTCCTTTCTAGAGTCTACTGCTAATTGATTTCGTGAGCTGCTCTCGATTTGTAGTGTTAGAGCAGAGGAAAAGGAGGGACAAAACTTTATCTCCCTCCACTTTCTCCATATCAGGTCCACCTTTGTCAATCTCTTATTATCCCTAATCCTCACGAAACTCCTCAGTGTTATAATGATGTAGCCTCTTGAGGTGCAAAAGTGCTTGCTCTGCCTTAATCTCCCTTCAGACATGCAATGTTTTGTAATGAAGGAGGACGCCCATTTTACAGAGGCAAGTAGCGAGGCTGAGAGCGATCCAAGACTCCCTGGTTTCAGTCGAGTGCCCCTCACTGAGCATCCTGTTACCTTTGGTTGCCAACCAGATGCTTAGCAGAAGTCCACAAACAAAATCCCTTTATGACCCTGTGTTTGTTATCTGCCACCAAACCACTTCCCCCTTACGGCAACCCTGATAAGCTTTACAAATATGTGAGATATACTGTATAAGGAGTAGGTTTCCCTGTGCCACCTCACCACCATCTCCATGGCCAACTGAAGATTTGAATCCAGGTCTCCCGACTCCGAAGACAAGACTGTAGCCACAATCCAACACAGGCTGTGATTGATACAGCTGGGCAAGATTTTAATGGCAGGGCTGGTTTCTGGGTGACATGTACTGTAAAGGCCAGGATTGTAGAATGTGTGCTTCTATCAGATGGTGCCACAGGCAGAGTTACATTTTGGGCTAAAACCTGGGTGTGTTACAACAGCAGCCCCCAAAATAATTTTGCCTCATAGGCTTAGAGCAAAAGACCACGGCAGACCGAGGGGGACAGATCTGGTGTGAATTAAGGAGCATCTCAGGAGAGGACGTGGGAGCAACGGCTGGCACAGCAGAGGAGGACATGGCTGGTTCTCATCATTTCCCCAGGGCCAGCACAGCCGTGACCTCAGTTCCCAATAAATGTGAAGGCTTCAGGTTTTATAGCTAGAGGCTGACATTGAAATGATAGCGGTGGGGGTGTGAGTTTTTTTTCCTGCATTTAATAACCCTTGATTAGACTGTCCTTCCACATTTCTGGGCGCCAGGAATGGTGGAGCCACGAGTAGCCAGGAATCTATAAGATAGCTTCCCGCTAGGATCGAAGGCAAGGAGCTTTTCTCCTCATCTGCGGTGCACAAACACATTCCCCTGTTTATTGATGAAAAGCAAAGACTAGGTGGAGTGTGTATGTGCGTGTGTGTGTGTGTCTTTCTTTCTTTGAGGAGGACAGAGAGACAGACAGACAGACAGAGGGAGGAGGGAGGGAGAATTGAGATCAGTATATCAATGTAAAGTTTGAAAAATCTGCCTTCTGGGATTACAAATCCCAGAAGCCTTGACCCAGGACTACAACTCCCAGAATGCTCTAGCCAGGAAGATTCTGGAAGTTGTGGTCCAAAGAAGTAAAATTCCTGATCTCTCTGGATCAAAGAAAACAACAGTGTACACAATTGGAGGAAGATATTTCTAGGAGAGCAATAGCACTAAATGAGTTTTAATCCAAAATATCTTGAGGGCATCAAGCTGCCCATCCAAACCTGCACAGGCTGGCAGTTTCTCCACATGACTTAAACCAGAAGTATGAGATTGTGAGCTTTACAAATGTCCCCACTTTATCTTCAAAACAACCCAGTGAGGTAGGCCAGGCACTGAGCAAGTGGATGGCCCACCATCACCCAGCTTTTTTTTGCTCAGTGATGTATCTCTTCCTTTTTCCATTAAACCTGTCCTCAGAACCGTCTTTACCTTCTCCCTTTTTGTTTGAAAGAATCTCACAGTGGCTCAAAACATGGGCTTTTTACTGTTCTCTGTGACCAGGAGTGGTTTCTTCGTGGCCTCAGGCTAAGAAAGGTTTTTATCCCTCTGCCATTCATGGCTCAGGAATCCTCAACTGTAACCAGCCTTTAAACCAGAAGTCGGCAAAGTGCAGCCTTTCCAGATGTTGTTGGACTGTAACTGCCCAGCATGCCTCACCATTAGCTATGGAGTCTGAGACCTATATCACAGTCCAGTTGCATCTGACTGGCCTCCTATTGCCCGGTTCTGCTTGAAGTACATAGGTCTTTTCTTCCAGCTTTCTTGATCTTACTGGCCTCCTATTGCCCGGTTCTGCTTGAGGTACATAGGTCTTTTCTTCCAGCCTTCTTGATCTTGTTGGACTCCCAATTCCCATTAGCCCCAGCCAACATTGGACTCCAGTTCCCATTAGCCCCAGCCAAAGCAGCAAAGGCTTATCGACAATAGGAACTGTAGCCCACCAACTTCAAGGGGCTGCAAGTTTCCCACCAGTGCTTCCAGTGGCTGTCCCTGGAGCTTCTTGGGTTCCTCCAGATGTTGGTCACAACAGGTCCCATCATTGACAACACAGCCTATTTCATGGTGGACGTTGATGGGACTTGCAGTCCAACAACTTCTGGAAAGGCAGACTTTGCCCTTCCCTTGGCAATTTCCAGCTCATCTAAGGAAAAGCAATAGTGTATGGGCCCCTACAGATGTTGGAGCTGCAACATAGAGGATTGAACTGGAAGGAAATGGGGAGTTACGTATACACAAAACATTTTTATTGGGAAATCCCCTCCCTTTTCCCAGTGTTGCTCTGAGGGCTTTCTCCCTCTCTGGTGTGCCAGCCTGTCAGGGCCCTAGCCTTGAGCCCCTCAACCACAGTCTCCCAGTTGCTAAGGAACTATTCAGAATGCTCTAGAACCCACAGCTTCTATGACACTTCTCGACAATTCTGACACTATGCACATCTCCGGGCAGCCTCTAAGCCCAGGCTGACCCCTCCCACCCCATTTGAAGAAGGTCTTTGTCAATCTCTGGAGTTCCTGTGGGGAGCCTACTGTGGGCCTTTGCCCCACATGGAACTAGAATCTCCGAAAGGAGAAAGATATGAGCCAGCCTAGGCTGGCTTCACTTCTCTGTCTAGTGCTGGTCGTAGAAGGTAGGCGGAGGAATCCCCACTGCGGAGGCTGAGGGAAGGGCAGCGCTAACTTGGAAATTTAGTTCTACAATGCCCAGATTCCCCCTGCCGGCAGAGCCACTGGCCATGATAGATGGGGGATGCTGGACGTTGTAGTCCAAAGCAGAGGTATTGTGGAGGGGACGGTTGCTCTCTCATTTTCTTCCCTTCTAGCTCTGATTTTGCCTCTTTCCTTCCAGCAGGTACAAGAGAAAACTTCTTTAAGCCTCTCAGTAAGTAAAATGTGGCTTTCTCTCTCCCTTCTTAATTTAAGCCTGACCACAGAATCCTATTGTGAATAAGATAAATCAGGGTGCTCCCTCTGGAGGCGAAGAGGAGATGCGACAGCCCTTGGTAACTCAACACTTTCATTCAACTCCCTCTCCCCATCCCATGCGCCCCCCCCCTTCAGTGCAGAGGCTGTGGATTTATTCAGTAGATCACTGTTTGTATTGGACACAATGCGATTCACATTGCAGGCCACAGCTGCCGCTTCTTGCCTTCTTTCTCTGCTACTGCCTCTGCCGATCTTTTTATGAGGCATACGTATAGGAAATAATAATAACAATGACCCCTTGATAAGGTGATTGGGTCGTATTGTGCCAATCTCACATATGGATTTTTTTTAAAAAAATTCAAAAATTGGAGGAAGATCAGGGGAGAGGAAAGAATGTAGGGACATGTCCCCCACTCCTTTACATCATGCCCCAGGTACCTACACCATCAAAGCATCACATACAAACCCACTTACCCCATCTTTACAAGAATGCATCACAATTAATCCCACAGGGAAATGTGTGCTTGCATAATTCTGTCTTGAAAAAGTAGAAGCCTGCCCCCCAATAACAGAGGGGGGAAATGCTGTATTGGGAGCAAAAAGGGCTAAACTGATTGGAATGAATCAGCCTTTGCCTTGTGGTCAATAAAAAATATTTTGCATTTGTCCATTTTATAAGTGGAGCAAATTCTGCAGCATTTGACCATGTAGTTGCAGCCTCAGTTATACTCCATAAAAGTCAGCTTCCTGAGTTCTTTCATGCCAGGTAGCCTTCAGGCCATTGGGGGCCCTCCAGATGTCACTAGGATGTAACTCCCAGGAGCCCCCAGCCAACATGAAGTCAATGGCTTGGTATCATGGGACAGGCCACCCAACGTCCAACGCTAGTGCTGATTCAGATAAGCACAATGCCAACTTGGAAAAAGTGAACTAGACAAAGGGAAGGGATGGTCCCAGTAGAAATTACCAGACTTAAGGATGGTTCTTTTCACAATTTTCTGCCTCTGCCCCATTTGCTCGTGCAACGAGATAATTGTTCATATTCATCTGGACAGCTGCACGGATTTCACCTGCTCAAACCAGTGGGAACTCAATTTGAAATACTTCACATAAAAATAGGCTTTCACCAGTGTATAGTCACACTGTCCGCCGCCTCCCCCCTACATTTTGTTAGAGTACAATTCCCATTACCCACAACTAGCAGAGCCAGGGGTCATAATTCAACGAATTCTGGACGGCCAATATTTCCCCCAACTTAGCCGTCAGTTGAGGGGATTCGGTGCCTTCTTTCTGCTGCATGCTGGCTAGGAATGATGGGAGTTGTTGTAGTTCAGCCCATCACATCGCAGAAAGTTGGGAATAAACTATACTGAGCTGACAACCCAACTTACCTGGCTCATTGTGAACTGGCGAATATGTTCATTCATGTCTTCCTTTTGTGAAAGAGATGGGGGAAGGGGTGCTGAAGTAAACGGGTTCCTATCTGTTCTAGCGTGCCATCAGGACGCCTCAAGTAGGAAAGCCTGCGGGGGCGAACCAGAGAAGTTCTATCCTAGGCAGTGCCTGCAGAAACAATGCTGTTTTCAGAATAATACCTGCTTCTACCATGCTATTGACGGTAAGGCTGACATCATTTCAAGGCATTTGGTTTGCATAGTAGCTTCCTTCCGGGGTGGGGTGGGGGGAATGAGTTGCTGTTTTTGTTCATAGGTTATAGGCATCTGACTTAAAAAAAAAACACCATTATCCACTTCATGGATGTCATACAGTTTCTCGCAACTTAACACGAGAGCTTGGAAACCTCATTTTTTCTTTCTCCCAATTGTAGGATTGGGACTTCTGTGAGTTGTAGTCCAACAAATGACATTTCTGAGCTCTGACTCAGACTGGGCTTTAAACCAACTTCTCCCAAAGGGTTCTGGGGCTTGTAGTTTGACCGAAGTGCTGACAAAGGCATTGCTTAGGTGTTTTTTTACTCCTCGTTACAGTCTGTAAATAGTATGGGAAGGAGAATGGCTGTCAAATGAGTTGGCGTCTGTGATATAGATACTGTACAAACAACGGGTTGTTTGGAGAGAGGGGAGACGTTGTTCTTTCTGCCACTGAGGCTGGAGGACTTCCGAATGGAATGTCGCTGTGCAAGGGTCGCAGGCACCTATTGAACCGTCCCTGTGCATCACTGACAATAATATGTGGCAAACTCTTCTGTGCTTGCCAAGAGCCTTGAATCTCCATAAAGGAGATACACAAGAGAGGTGGAACTAATAAACAGCACTATCCTGTGCATGTTTACTCAGAAGTAAATTCCCCAATGATCAGTGGAGCTTACTCCCTAGTATGCATGCTTATTTGGTAAACAATAAATAAAAGGAATGCTGGCTTGGAGGAACAGGTCTCTGCTTCTCCCATTCCATGATGTTCATTAGAACTTCCTGCTGGTAAACTTATGTAGACTGGATCATTCCACTACAGGGATGGCCCCATATACAGTGGTGCCTTGACTTACGAACTTAATCAATCCATATTGGAATGGTGGCCATAAGTCAAAACGTTCGAAAGTCAAAGCAGCATTTCCCATAGGAATGCATTGAAAACCGATTAATCCGTTCTGGCTATTTATTGTCCTTATGTCAAGGCATGGTTCATAGGAACTAATGCAAAGCCTGTTAATCCATCCTCTACCACTAGGGGGAGAATTTTTTTAATTTTTTCTTCTTTTGACCTAAGATGAACTTAGGTCAAAAAAAGGGCAGGAAAGTTTTTTTTTCGTTTGTAAGTCAAAGCTCCGTTCATAACTCAAGGCAATATCCCGCAGCTGGAGTTGTTTGTAACTCAAAACGTTCGTAGGTCAGAGCGTTCGTAAGTCAAGGCATCACTGTATGCTTAAATTATAGAACATGAAATAAAGGTTGAGGTATTAACCCCATCACCACCTGTAGCCTGTTTTGGGGAGGGGATTCTGACTTGACTGTGCTGTATGTTTTATGATGTAATTTCCATGGGTTGCAAAAATTATTATGTTAATATACAATACAATAACCATGTGTTGGATGTAATTTCCATGGGTTGCAAAAATTATGTTATTGTACAATATAATAACCATGTGTTGTCAAGTCAATTCTGACTTATGGTGACCCTTTTCGAGAGTTTTCCAAGTAGAGAATATTCAGAAACACTCAGAAATCATTTGTTGCTTCGAGGGGTGCCCTGGGACCATGCAGCTTGCACAAGGCCACACAGGCTGGCTCTGTTTGCAGAAGGCACAGTGAGGAATCAAACTCTCAGCCATACCTAAACCACTGAGCTATCCTGCCAGCTCATGTACTTTAATGAGAGATGCTATTTTTAAACTGTACTGAAATTTCTGTTTTAAAGCACTGCATACATCTATTGAAAAACAAAACAGTTACATACCCAGGGCTATTAAAGAAACAGGCATGGGGCTACCTTAGAAAACACAGGTATAGTTGGAAATGCATGATTTGACCAGATCAGTCCTTAACTTCTGGGGAGCAAAACCCCGAATATAAACTGCAGTGTGACCACCTTCATGAGTTAAGTGAGAAAAACTTTAATCAAACAAGGCCCTTGAGTGACTGCTGGGTTGTAGGCCAACTGGCTATATGTGCCTTGCCCCCCCTTTTACATAATTTCTCCCCTGGCCTCAGCATTTCTTTCAATAGTGAGACACTTATTCTGGGGGGCACTCTTACAATACCTATACAGTGCCCTTGACACAGATGTGCCTCAGGGCACTGGGGGAACTTCACTGCTGGGTTGTAGGCCAACTGGCTATATCTGTCTTGCCCCTCCTTTACATAATTTCCTCCCACAAAACAGGGGGATGGAAAGTCTGTGCGTCTTATGGAGCGAAGAAAACAGATTATATTTTCCTGTTTTCTTCTCCTAAAAAATTGGTGCGTCTTATGGATCGAAAAATACGGTAGGTAGACTGCCTGACATTGGCCAAAGTGAAGCTTCGTCCAATAGTCCTTCCAAGACTCCTGTTGAGATAAAAAGGGCCCCAGAGCCCCACATCCAGAATTCCCAAAACGTAACTTTGCAGAAGATTTCTCCCCCCAATCTTGTCTCGATGTAACACTGCTTCTGATGATGAAGGTCTTAACCTGTGCATGGACAAAGCCTTCGCTGAGTCAACCCACTGCCTTTTCTTGGACAGGTGCCAAACAACGCCAGAATGCAGGGATCCTTAGCGGAATCATTTTCGCAGTGTTCCTCTTGGGCATGTTTCTCTTCTTCATTTGGTAGGTCGTGGTTTTTTCTTCTTCTTCCGGTTTTTACACTCAAAGAGTACCTCCAACAAATTTGGATACGACCTTAGTTAATTCTCAGGGGAGCCGAGTAGAATTTGTCATTTAATCCCTTTGGATTCCAGCTACTCAACACTCAGAAAGAAGTATGAGGCCAGCATGTGTCCAGTTCTTTGCTCCTGGAAAAAAAAAAAGCAATTTTGCAGAAACTTTGTGGGGTTCGTCCACCTAGCAGGGCACAACACACAAAGGGTCTGTGTTTTGCTTGGCTTGGCATATTGCCAGTATTCAAGACTGATCTGTGGGACTTGCCTACAGTACGGTTTTACTAGCTGCAAGGCTATCTTGGCTTCTGAGTATGTGACCCTGGGAAATGGGTTCTGTGAAGAAGCTGAAGACCCCAACTGCTGAATTCCCACCTACTTTCAGAAATTGGGAGGGCTAGTTATGAAAGTTCGTTTCCCATTGGTTAAATGACTGGTTCTCAACCTTGGCTTACTCAGGAGTTTTGGACTGCAACTCCCAGAAGCCTTCACCACCAACTGTGCTGGCTGGGGTTTCTGGGAGTTGCAGTTCAAAAACATCCGAGTAACAAAGGTTGGGAACCTAGGGGTTACTACTATGTTAGGTGGATGGGGAACCCTTCCTCCTTTGGTAATCTATGGTCTTGCCCTGCTTCACCTCCCCCCCACTAGTCACCATTTATTGTTCACAAGAACTCTTCTCATTTCCCAAAGTAATGTGCTAATCCTACTGTGACAGTGACCAGGTCTGATGAATCCCCAAGCAGACAAACAGGAAACTTTTAATTAAAGACATATAAGCCTTCAAAAATGCAATAATGCATTGTGTGCCTACATTGGTCCGGTGGGTACTGTAATTGTGTTTTATTCACCCCATTGCCAAATCTTAGCCAGAATCCTATTGGCATTTACACTTGCGGGCGTGCAATGACATAAATCACAGAAACAACAAGACTCTGTCCAACAATTGTTAAAATACAAGAGAACACAGGAAAACAGTGGGATGAAACCAATTGCCAACAGAGTTGTAGATGTTTTGTGAACTGTAGTGTAGAAGCATTTTTTCCCCTCTTTTCCTCTTATTTTATTCTGGGCTTATCTAATAATTGACCCTTTGTCCTTGGGAATCCTGGAGAATGCAATTTGGGGAGACGGAGAAGGTAGACATCTCTAAGAGAATTCTGAGCTTCTGCACCACAGTACAATTCCAAGAGCAAGAAGATACGACCTATAGTGTAGATATACTGTAGTTCTGCTTCCTCTTTGTCTACCATTTCATATGCTATTTCAGGCTGGAGAGCTGTCCTGCTTTGGAATACCGACCTTATCTCCACCATGCTGCTTGGTCAGCCTGTATATTTGGCTTGCATCCACCACCAATTGGCTGGCTCTTGTGTCTGTCATAAAATCATCTGTCCCATTTCCCTGAAGCAAAAAAAAGGAACCGAGGAAGACCCAAGCCCAAATTGAGCGCAAATGATGGAGCAGATAAAAATGGAGATGTTTGAAGGGTGTAAGCAGCAGTAAACCAAATAGCAGCTTGGGTGGGTGGGGTTTAGATTAATATCTGCTTCCCCCCCCCCCAGGAATGACAAGGCACTTATGTCGGTACAGAGGTCAGTATAGTGAGGGAGAAGCGCACTATATTATGATTTCCAACATTTATAACGCTATTTCCACTTTCCTCATATACCTGCATATAATCTGTGAGTGTGAGGTTGCTTTGGAAAAGTTAGTTTTCTAGATTATGACTCTCTTCAGCTGGAATTGGCAGCAGTCATGTGAGCAAGGGGTTTCACAAAAGCAACTTTTGCTAGGTTTCTAGAAGTCACGATTTAAAAAAAAAAACGATCGTTGTCCAAGCTCTGCTTGGGACTAGGGCCACATTAGGGAGGGACATCCTTTCTTGTTCCCTCCCATATTCTGACATGTTTCTGTCCAACCTCCCCCAGTAAATTTAGAGAATTCCGAAGAAAGGAATTGAGCGAGAGCGAAACATCTGACATCTTGACCAAACTTTTGGGGGAAGAAAGCGAGGCTGCCATATACGTGCCAGAGTACCCAAACCGGTCATCGAGAAGCTTCGGACCAGCAGCAGCCTTAAGCCCAGAACCAGAAGAGTTGTATACATTCCGAAGTCAGCAGATTACCCCAGAATCCAGTTCTGAACCCATGCAGCCAATGGAAATCATTCTACCAGTACCGATGGCAACACTGGCACCAGAAACAGGGCCACCACTGGGGCTGGCACCAGGGCCACCACCAGCCCCAGTTCCAGAACCAGTGCCACCACCAGCTCTGACACCAGCCCCGGCCTCAGCCCCAGGAGCAGCCCCCCCACCAGCTCCAGCCCCAGCCCCGCCACTGGCCCCAGGACCAGCACCGGCGCCAGGATCAGCCCCTCCACCAGCACCAGAATCAATTCCAGCTCCTGCAGTGCCACCAGAACAGGCACCGGCACCACCAGTAGCAGCAGCAGCAGGAGGGCCGATGCCCGCACCAGCACCAGCTCCAGAGGCACCTCCAGTACTACCAGCAGCCTCATCTCCAGCACCACCTCCAGCAGTGCCACCAGGACCACCTCCAGGACCAGCAGCACCAGCATCCCCTCCAGCATAACCACTCCCATACTGCAAGCCCCATATACACTTGTCTATATAAATAAAATAGTTTAGTTTTCTTTGTACTCATTTTTCTATGGGTTGGGGGTTCCATCTCCTTCGGCTCTGGAATCGCTGATCCTTTGCTAGAGAACTTGCCAGGGCTTCTTCACAGCCACCTCTGTCTCTGTTCAGTCATGCCTTGCTTAACGATTACCCCGTATAATGACGAATCCGCTTCACAACTATGTTTTTGCAATAACAAAATGATGTTTTAATGGGGGTTTTTTGCTTTGCGACGATCGGATCCCTGCTTCGGGAACCGATTCTTCGCATTACGATGATCAAAACAGCTGATCGTCAGGTTTTCAAAATGGCCACCAGCTGCTCAAAATGGCTCCCCACTGTGTTTTTGGGCTGATTCCTCGCTATACAGGCACCGAATATGGCTGCCCCATGGAGGATCTTCACTGGACAGTGAGTTATTCAGCCCATTGGAATGCATTGAACGGTTTTCAATGCGTTTCAATGGGCTTTTTAATTTCGCTTTATGATGTTTTTCGCTCTACAGCGATTTCGCTGGAACAAATGTCGTCAAGCGAGGCACCACTGTACCCTGTCCCAACCATGTTTCTCAGTCCTACAATGTGGCTTGTGTGGCTTCCACAGCTTTATGGCAATGAGAAATTTGGCAGATGCAGTTTTTCCCATCATGGCTTCTCTCCTATGTGCAGATCTGAACCCACTGAATTTCTGGCTCCTATGCAGCACTTTTAAAACAGGAGCTCTGGCAGGTTGAGAGAGGGAAGCAGTGGTTCTCTCTTCAGCTTAAATTTTTTTAAAAAATCAGAGACAATGCTTTTGGAAAAAAAAACCCCAAATTTTTGAAAAGTATTAAAGCAAACTTTATACAAAAAGTGCTGAAGACAGGGTACAAGCAACTTCAGGTCAGACAGACGAACAGATGAGTTTAGCATCCTTTTCTTGGTAATTTTCTGGATTAAAGATCAGGTCCGGTCCCAGACGAAGAACACTGTCCAGCTGGAGAAGTCCATTAATCCTTCCTACAAGTGCAGCAGAGATATTTCTAGTCAATCCTAAGCTTACAATGTACAGACACATATTAAACAAATAAATAAAAAGAGCAGAGGTTGGCTAAATTACCTTGTTGGACCACAAATGCTGGATGCCCCCCCCCCATAATATGGTGAACGTAGCTGCTAAAGGCCCAGCTTAAATTGTAGCAACAATGGAGAATTTATGGCTGGACAAACTCTCATCAGTTTTAGCCAATATGACCAATGATATGATGAGGTCTGAACTTTTGGTAACTTGCAGAGAGCCACAGGTTACCCACCCGTGGATAGACAAACATTAAAAATGTACCTGCCAATAACAGCATTTTAATTGCAAGAAAAGGCTCAAAAGCAAACTACCACCACCTTGCTCCCATCATTTTCCTATACTGTATATGGTTCTGGTCTGTTGAATAGGGTTCTAGTCCATTTTGCTGTATGGAATTCTAGTACTTTGGATAAAAAATATGAGAGATCCACTAATGCAGGGATTCCCAACCATGGGCAACCCAGATGTTCTTGGACTTCAACTCCCAGAAATCCTGGCCAGCACAGTGTAGTGGTGAAGGCTTCTGGGAACTGCAGTCCAAGAAACACCGGGGCTACCCAAAGTGGGGAACCACTGCACTAGTGGGATGTATGGGAAAACCCTATCTGATAAATTTAATTGTTAGTAGTAGAAGTATAGGAATCATGGGAAAGCCTAATAATTTAGAGAACAGAAAAAGCAGCTGGTAAGCAGCCTTACCATGTTGCCTAAGCCAATATTGCTCAGACACATGCCCTCCCCCAGTCAAACTGTCTTTTATTCCTTAATTCAAAGTATTATTCCTTACTGAATGTAAATCACTAAATGGGCAATGAGGACCAGGGTGGTGTAGCAGATAAAAGTATCAGATTAGACCGGGGTTCAAATCCTTACTCAGCCATGGAAAATCCCTGCCGGCGTGGCTGTGTTAAACCTATGCATTGAATCTTTCACATCCCTGGAGGTCAGAATTTACTTGATGGCTCCTCAAAACAAAACCCAATATGGAACAGCTGGCAAGCCTAAAAGTAGAACAGTAGTAGGTATTTCCACACTGTTTACTTATAATAAATAAGGCTATCAACCCAGAAGGGTCAGGGTTTCCTACTATAAGCCAAGGGACCACTCTGGAGTTGCAGAGGAACAGGAAAGAGCTTGTGAATCATTCACAGAACAGGAAGGGCATAACTCAGTTTAAGGTATATATTTTTTTACATGAAGCTCATCCAACATACAATGCCCAGCAGCCCCAGGAAAATGCCATGCCAGAGAAATTGCTGCTGGACAGCCGAGACAATCCGAGACCAAATGACCCAATGACCCGACTACAGTGGACCCTCTACTTATGGAATTAATCCGTATTGGAACGGTGGCTGCAAGTTGAAAAGTCTGTAGGTCCGGGCTCCATTTACCTACAATGCATTGAAAACCGATTAATCCCGTAACCGGCCG